GGTCCCCAGCGAGGCCCGGGTCAGTCCGGCTGCAGCGCCACCAGGCACTTGACCAGCGTGCAGGAGCAGAGACTGGGCTGCCCCTCCTCCTCCTCCTTAGACGCAGCCAGGTCTCCCAGTGCCGATCGCGCCCCGCCTCTGCCAGGCTTCTGTTCGGCACCCAGCCAGAAAACCAGGAAATACCGAACACTGCACATGTCCGGTATTTTCTGGATTTTTTTTTACTGATCAGGAGTCCAAAAACCAGACTGTCCGGTAGAAAACCAGACACCTGGCAGCCCTTTGAGAAGTGAGTTACCAGTGCAGCCAGGTCTCCCAGTGCCGATCGCGCCCCGCCTCTGCCAGGCTTCTGTTCGGCACCCAGCCAGAAAACCAGGAAATACCGAACACTGCACATGTCCGGTATTTTCTGGATTTTTTTTTACTGATCAGGAGTCCAAAAACCAGACTGTCCGGTAGAAAACCAGACACCTGGCAGCCCTTTGAGAAGTGAGTTACCAGTGAATACATCTTGTCCCCTCTCTGCATCTTCTATTGCCCCTCTCTTGCTGGGCCTGTCTCTGGAGAGCCCAAGAAGGGGCTTTGTCTCCTGCACGCTGCCGGCACCCAGCCCGAAGCACAGATTTTGGCTGCTGAGCCTCTAGTGCGAGGAATATCGTTGGCCAGGAGATGTTGATGGGTTTTTGCAACCCTAAAACAAACATTTGAATTCCCCCAAGTGCTCAAACCCCTTCCCAGTGGTCTGATTTCTCCCAATCCAATTGTGTAAATCCTACTAATAGATTGTGCAAAAAGGGCTTCAGAAATACTCACTCCCTAAAACTGTTTTCCTGCAGTACATTCTCTCTGTGGACAGGGCGAATTTAAACAAAGAGCTGCTCACAGGTAAGTGTCCTGGGCTCTTTGGAGTGTCCCTGGCCCCTTTTCACTTGGTCCCACCTAAGAGAATCCAGAGCTGTGCCCCTACCCAGCTGTAGTATAGACACTTCCTGCTTCAATTGCAGGGGAGTTTCCATTAGTATAGGCAAGTCACTTCCCCTCCCAATGGTCGCTGGGTCAACAGGTGCATATTTCTCTCTGCCTACACTTCAAGTGGGCTAAGTTTCCATGGTTTCTTCTACGAACGCTGCTCTGGTTCTCCAAGCACTCTGCGTCTCTCTGTGGCGGGCCGGAGCCACCTCCAGAGCCCACAAAAGCAGACGAGCGTGTAGCTCATGGAGACATGCCTTGAATAACACTCCACGCTGACTGAGGGTAGAAGACATTTTACGAGCACTAACTTGCCCAGCACCGCTCCGTGGAAGGGAAAGACTGTGCTCGTTTGACTGCGGACCAAACTGGGACGAGAGAGCAAGGTCCCATGCTACAAAAGTTGCACTAAATACAGGTGCCTCATTTTGGGGCTACCTAATGGTCTCAAATTCGGTGCCAGAATTAGCAGGCACTTTGGAAAATCTGGCCTCCAATTATCCAGCCAGGCTCTCGCTCCTGATCCGTGGCAGTGGCAGAGCCAGGCTTTAGCATTCCAAGCCCCCGTTCCGGCCTGGGACCTGTAACACGCTGTAGGGCAGACGCTAGCAGCCGCATGTCACACCAAGGCAGTTCTAAGGACTGGTTTCCAGAGCTGTGGCTCTGAGAGGCCACATCCTGATGCACATGGAAACGAAGCCTGCAGATTAGATGTTCACTGAAAACCAGCTACTCTCAAGGGGGCTTTTGATGTTGGGGGGATGTGGAAGATTGGGTGAGAGAATGTGAACTGCTCCTTGTTATCTGCTTTGTGTAGCCAGAAGGGGGAAGTTCCCAGGAAAGCCAAATAACCCATCGCTTCAGTGTATTTGCATTCTGCTGAGTCAAACTGAACACTGACATTTTGGAAGGTCTCAGTGCGTAAAGGAGACCCCTTCTTTTTCTCAGAGGCTACGTCTAGCCTGCATCCCTCTGTCAACATAGGGATGCAAATCAAGCATGTTGAAATTGCTAATGAAGCAGGGATTTAAATATCCCGTGTTTCATTAGCATAAACATGGCCGCTGCTTTTTTTCCTAAATGGAGCTTTTTCAGGAAAAAAAAGGCAGTCTAGACGCGGACCTGTCGAAAACAGACCCTTTTTCGACAGCTCCTGTAAATCTCAATCATGGCGAGATCTGAAGATTAACACCTTCTTGGTGATCAAGGACTCTTGGCCAGGGTGCGTATTACACGCTGGGTATTGCACTTCTACACGTTTTATTCATAACATGTTCTGCCTGCCCCACCAGAAGGAATCTAATTTGATGTAAGAGATGAAAGGCTCGATGCTTTAGGGGCGCTCTCGGGGCTAGCAGTGTGAGCTAGTACAATCCTTCGTGTTGAAATATCTTTTCTTTTCACAGCTGCTGAGAAGTACCCCAACGCTACGCTGTACTTTGGACACAAGCTGCTTCACTGCCACATTGAATCAGGGCTGTTAACCTTCCAAAGGTGATGTAGGCCCCGGCCGTAAAGGCTTTCTTAATAGAGCTTTTGCCTAATAATTAATCACAACTCAAACAACTGGGCAAGGCCAGTTCAAAACCAGTTTATTTCTGAGCTGACCCTGCACATCAGGTTTACAAAGAATCAGACATTTCATGATGTGTTTAAAAGTCTTGGTCTAACTGGTGTCGCTGAGGGAGCCCAGGGTATTGGGGTGAAATGTAACAGCCTGTGATGGGCAGCAGGTCAGACTTGGTCCTTGTCTGCACGACGAGATGAGGTCGAATTTATGGAGGTCGATTTTCTAGCACCCAACTTGGTAAAGCTGGAAGTGCATGTCCCCACTGTGCGCAAGACTGCCACATATGTCGAGGCAGTGTCCCCAGTAGGGTGGCTACCATCGACTTTGACAGAGATGCACTGTGGATAGCTATTCCACAGTTTCTGCAGCCCCTTCACATGCTGGATTATACTCCCAGTGCATGCTGGAGCCAAAGCAGTGCAGTGGGTGGTTCTGGGTATGTGTTGTCTGTGTCCCATAATGCACCCATCTCTTCCCTCCCCTTGCTTGAAAGCAACGGCAAACAGTCTTTGCGTGCCCCTTTTTCTCTCGTTACCCATGCAGTTACCACAGCAGGGTAAGCATGGGCCCGGCATGGAGCCTGTTCGGCAGCAAAGTGCAGCTGGCAATCATAGCAACCGTCGTGCGCCTGACGCAGAGCACGTCTGGGGCCGCGGAACCAGGTGGACTATCGGGAAGCCATGAGCATACACTGCTGTGAAGGACTCGAGTGGAGCGACTGGGAAACGCCGCCGGCATTGGAGCCTCTCGACACGATGGGACGCTGGTTCTGCTGCCGAGAGACAAGTAGTGATGGCAGAGCACTTACTGCTGGCCTGGTGTGGAGGGGTGGAATAGGGCCTGCTTCCCCAGGGACCATGTGAGAAGGGTGGAGGAGAACCTCTGAGTGCTTTTTGGAGATGTGCAGGGAGGATTCCTGCTCCATCTCCAGACACATTAACAAGCTTTTCCAGGGCCCCCCTGCTGGGTAGGCAGAGTGGCCGCCACAGACCACACCCAATCGCCCGAATCCACTGGTCGCAAGACAAAGTATGTGCACTCAGAAGTGCTGTCGCTGCCGTCAGGGCTGGACTGTGAGATGTCCTAGGAGAAGGGGATCGGCTTCAAAGTTATTAAAAGTTCCTGGCTGTCGGTGGGACGGGATGCTCCACTCACCTGCCGACCAGTCTCCTCCTCGTCCTCATCCACACTGTTCTTCACGCTGCCACCTGAGGAGCGTCTTAGAGCCATCTGCAGACTGGGTTGGGATACTGGTCAGTTCCCGCCTTAGGATCCCACGGAGCTGTTCATAAATGCGGCATGTTTGTGGTGACGAGTCAGACCGTCCGCTTGCCTCTTTTGTCTTCTGGCACGACCGTCTCAGCTCCTTGATTTTCAAGCAGCGCCACCGGGCGTCCCGGCGTATCCTTATTCCGCCATGCCCTGTGCAATCTCGGCATTGATATCGGCGCTTCTTTCGCTGCTTCCTCGTTCCGCTTGAACCGATTCCTCTCCCCATGCAGCAGTGACGTCCAGGATCTCCCTGCACATTCCCCGCTTTTGCTCGTTTGTGAGCCTGGGCGTTCACGGTCAGGCGTGCTGCTGAGGCGCACTGCCTGCTCGGGGGTTTGCTCGCCACACTGGCCGCACAGGAAGTGAAATTCCGGGGATTTTCCTGTGTACTCACTGTGGGACACCTGGTGGCCAAGAACATCAGTTTCCCCAGCACTGCCTCTGCAGTACCCTAATGCTGACCATCAAGGGTGAATTTACCGTTCCTCCTCGTGAAAAGCAGGAGTACCGAAATGGACTCTTAACTGCCCTTAAAGTCAACCAAAAGGGGTTGATGGTGTGGTCTCACTGTTTAGAAAATCGACCTAATGCAGCTCAGCTCCCAGTGTAGACCCAGCCTCAGTGACCCCTCCTGGCTGTGAATTCTCTCAATGTCCCAGTGACCAGACCGTCTCGTCGCACCTCAAGGCTCACGAGCGAACCAAAGCAGAGCGCTAGGATGCCTCTTGAGCAGCGTGCACCTGGCCGGTCTGCTGCGGCAGCAGTGCTGTGGGAGGCCACTGGCCTGGGCCCAGATAGCACAGCCTCACTCCAACAATCTCTTGTTTTTCAGACCTGACCAGACGTCCATGGAAGTCACTTGTGACCTGCTAGTGGGATGTGATGGAGCCTTTTCTACAGTGCGAAAGCAGTTCATGCGGCAGACACGCTTCAACTACAGCCACGTGTACATCCCTCATGGGTACATGGAGCTCACCATCCCACCCAAGGACGGGGATGTAAGTAGCCTCCCTCCAGTCCGTGCTCTGCTGTAACACCCTGGTCCCTGCTGCCGCGGCCCCTCCAGAAATCCCTGGTGAGCCAGTTGCCTGTTGGGGATGGATGGTGCTGTCCCACCTCGCAGAGCTATTGTCGGGCTCTCTGCAGGCTCAGGCAGCCAGCGCTGCAGTGCTCCTGTTTTCGAGGTTGAGAGCTGGTAGGTCCCTGGCTTTCAGGTGCAAGTCAAGCGAATGCAGGAGGCAGCACATGTTGGGTGGGGACGCAAGGGGAACAGCCCGGCTTGCTCAGGCTTGTACCCTCGTGAAATGGTGCAGGGACCTTCTGCGCTGTGGGGAATGGGCTTGCTAAGGAGACTCTGACCAGCCCCTTCCTTCCTTGCAGTTTGCCATGGAAGAGAATTTCCTGCACATCTGGCCCAGGAACACCTTCATGATGATCGCGCTGCCTAACCTGGCAAGAACCCACATTCCTTACGGGCACAGGGCGGGCTCCCACAGGAGCTGGCTGGGGAGACGCGCAGTGCCTAGCGCCCCCGTGGGAGTGGCGGGCCCTCTGACCCAGGAGGCCGCAGACCGAGTCTGTGCTCTGCCGCTTCCTGGGACCACGCAGGGTGGGAAGGGGTCTCCCAGGCCCCATCCTGCTTCTGCACTGCTCCCACGGGACCAGCCACGATAGGCCCCTCTGTGCAACAGAGCAGGGAAGTGCAGAGCTCGGGGCCTATAGGCCCTTCCCCCTTCCGCCGCTCTTAGCCTCTCCCCTTGCTCCCACAGGATAAGTCGTTCACGTGCACCCTCTTCATGCCCTTCGAGGATTTTGAGCGGCTCACGACGGGCGATCAGGTGCTGGAATTCTTCCAAGCCTACTTCCCAGATTCAGTTCCCCTCATCGGAGAGTAAGTGAGCGCTCCTGTGGGGTCTCACTAGCTAGCGCCGTGACGGGCAGCTCTCCTGGGGCTGGTGACGTCGCGCGCTAGTGCAGAGCAGCAGCGACTGTGTCAAGGGAGGCCGGGGCATTGCAGGCCCCTCGGGAGGGGCTCTAGACACCTGATAGATTGCAGAACAGATGGGCAGGACAGGAGACTGCAGTTTGCTCTGTTGTTCCAGTGGAATAATAAGCCTGAAGGTCGCGGTGCCCTTCCCCAGGTGCTAAGCTAAGCTGTCTGTAATCATTAGACCACACTCCACTGCCTGCGCCAAAAACATGAGCCAGGAGTCCTGATTGCCAGCGCTCGACTGTAGTCTGCCACCGCTTGTGTGAGCCGCTGGCCGGGGACACCCCGCGCTCCCCTCTGGGGGATAACAGCCTCCTACTGCTAAGAATTAATGCCTTAACTCACCAGTAGAGGTTGAGCCTTGAATCTGAATTTGGCTGCCCCTGATCGAATGCCTGCTTTGTCCATTTTCCTTTACTGAAAACCTAGAAAGTCACTGTCCCAGCCTGGCCCTTACCACAGCCACAAGGTCCCATGGGCAGCATCTAGTGCCCTTGCCAGCTCCGACTCTGTAACACACAGCCCTAGCTCTGAGCCCGTCTCTGAGACGGGGGACTCTGGGGTCCTGCCAGTCCTGTCCCTGGGACCAGCGTCTCCCATCTCCTGAACGCTCCGGAGACCCTCTCCCCCCCAGCAGGAGAGTAGAGAACAGGGCTTGCTGGGGACTGTCGCTCTGCTCATAGGCAGCTGGTGGGTTACAGGTCTTCAGAAAACAGAAGCTGTGAAATAGCCCCACCCCCGGCTGATCTCCCCCTCTGGTGAGTCTGGGGTGTCTCCCTGTCTCCTCTTGTCCCGTGTCCTGCTCCCAGGTGCTGATGGCTGGCAGCCTCCCCTCCCCCCTTCAGCCCTCTGCCGC